TCGACACAGGTAGATCACAAGGTCAGGAGTTCAAAATCAGCCTGGCCAACATGGTGAAATCCTATCTCTACTAAAAATACAAAAATTAGCTGGGTGTCCTGGTGTGCACCTGTAATCCCAGCTACTCCAGAGGCTGAGGCAGGAGAATCGTTTGAACCCAGGAGGCAAAGGTTGCAGTGAACAGAGATTGTGCCACTCCACTCTGGTGTCAGTGTGAGACTATGTCTCAAAAAAAAAAAAAAAAAGAAAAGAAAAGAAAAATCTCTATTCTTAAATGGTGACAATTACTAAATATTCCAAATACCCATAGAGCAAGCAACATACATCTGTGGGTTGGATTCTCACCAATGTCTACCTACTACTGCAAACTCATAGTTAAAAATCTCTTGATGGTGTACTACAATACTCCTTTACCATCACCGCCCCTCACCCCACAGAAGAAAAAAATGGGAACCACGAAAAGCAACTCCAGAAACTTACAGAGTACTAGTGACAAACTGCCTTAATTTAACCTTTTCTCTCTCTTGAAAAAGAAATTTGTTAACAGTTTTAGGTATAGAAACTTTTATGGCAGAAAAAAATGTAGACAGAGAGAGAATTTTTTCTTTTAAAAATTTTTTTCTCCAAACTTTCAAAAAAAATTCAAATAGTACAAATTACATAAACATTTCTAGCCTCAACCAAACTAATGAAAATGCTCAGTAATACACATGAGATTGATTCACTGTGAATACAGAAAAACAAGGTACAAAATATTAATCGTATTAATTTATTTGCACTGATCTATCTACATGTTGTCATTTGACTCTTTTGTGATCAACAGCACAAAACTAGCTAGAAAGAAGGTTGAACTAACTCCCTGATCAGGGAACACTCAAGTAACAAACTACTTGTGGACCCAAACCTGTGACCTAAACCTCCTTAATACCATGCTATCCATAACTAAGGTGACCAATTACTCATAGCCAGTATTAATTTACTCCACAACATTTCTTCACTATTTTTACAAAACATAAATATTATTTGACAATGTCTTTAAGGCTTTTCCTTCCATTTAAAAATATGAATGTCTGGGTTAGGCGCGATGGCTCACACCTGTAATGCCAGCACTTTGGGAGGCCAAGGTGGGCAGATCACAAGGTCAAGAGATGGAGACCATCTGGCCAACATGGTGAAACCCCCGTCTCTACTAAAAATATAAAAATTAGTTGGTTGTGATGGCATGTGCCTATAGTCTCAGCTACTTGGGAGGCTGAGGCTTGAGAACTGCTTGAACCCAGGAGGTAGAGGTTGCAGTGGACCAAGATTCACGCCACTGCACCCCAACCTGGTGACAGAGCAAGACTCCATCTCAAAAAAATAAAAAAAAAGGAAAAAATATATGAATGTCTACATTCAGGAATATGAATTTATAGAGAACACCCAAATTTCATCCTTAAAATGGCTTAACCTACTGCTGGAAGCCCTTATGAAGTTTAAATAAAATTCTTAATATAATTAATCATGGTAGGCTTGATTTGGAGTTCAAAACTTTTTCTAAAACAGTTATTAATAAGGGAGACTCTCTAACCAAAAGAATTAGTAGACAATTTAGTGATAGTAAAATATTATGGCTACAGGCACAGGGGACCCTGTATTTATTGAACACCTACTATGCCCCAAGTACTGTGCTGAATACAGTAGGGTACTCATTAAATCTTTAAAAAACAACCACATGAGGAAGGTACCATTCTTATCCCCATTTTATAGATGGGGAAACACCTTTCCAAGATCACACAGCTAGTAAGCGGCAGAGTCAGGACTCCAACCCAAATGTTTTCTAACTTCAGAATCTGCACACTTAACCACTACACTGTATTGCCTCCAGTGACTCTGGGTTAATATCAAAGATAAAAGAAGAAGAAATTTTGTACTTCTCAGTGGCAAATTTTAAAAACATACTAGAAATGGAGGGTATTTTGGTCAGGCACGGTGGCTCATGCCTGCAATCCCAGTACTTTGGCGGGCTGGGGTGGGCAGTTCATGAGATCAGGAGTTCTAGACTAGTCTGATCAACACAATGAAACCCCGTCTCTACTAAAAATACAATAATCAGCCCGGTATGTTGTTGGACACCTGTAATCCCAGCTACTCAGGAGGCTGAGGCAGGAGAATTGCTTGAGCCCGGGAGATGGAGGTTGCAGTGATCCGAGATGGTGCCACTGCACTCCAGCCTGGGCAACACTCTGTCTCAAAAAATAAAGAAAGAAAAAGAAATGGAGATTATTTTTTAGAACATAAACAAGTCTCATATACAGTCATATGAATATAATTTTTTCTTTCCAAATACATGTAATCATGATGCAAATCCCACACAATCAATTTCTCACAATTTTTCATAAGTATTCAATCATGTTTTTTTGTTTTTTATGGGTTTTTTTGACAGAGTTTCACTCTTGTTGCCCAGGTTGGAGTACAATGGTGTGATCTTGGCTCACTGCAACCTCCGCCTCCCTGATTTTAGCGAGTCTCCTGCCTCAGCCTTTCGAGTAACTAGGATTACTGATACCCACCACCACACCTGGCTAACTTTGTGGGGTTTTTAGTGTTTTAGTAGAGATGGGGTTTCACCATGTTGGCCAGGCTGTTCTCAAACTCTGACCTCAGGGGACCCACCCATCTTGGCCTCCCAAAGCACTGGAAATAACAGTCATGAGCCAACAGCCTGGCCCAGTTGTGTTTATTATTAAAAATTTAATGGGAACACCCCGTATCTTCCCCTCAATTTTGCTGTGAACCTAAAATGACTCTTAAAAAAAACAGTGTACTGGGCTGGGTGCAGTGGCTCACGCCTGTAAATCCCAGCACTTTGGGAGGCCGAAACAGGTGGATCACCTGAAGTCAGAGTTCGAGACCAGCCTGGCCAATACGGTAAAACCCCGACTCTACTAAAAATACAAAAATTAGCCAGGCACAGTGGAGGGAACCCGTAATCCTAGCTACTCAGTAGGCTGAGGCAGGAGAATTACTTGAACCTGTGGCGCAGAGGTTGCAGTGAGCCAAGATCACTGACACTTTACTCCAGCCTGGGTGAAAGAGCAAAACTCTGTCTTAAAAAAAGAAAAAAAAAAAGCTTATTAACAAGTTTTCTTCAACTACAATATCCTAAATATATCTAATTTAGTTATAAACTGTCTTATGACTAGATTCTTTCAGTATGAAAAGTTACATTCTGTTCTTCATAACCACGGTACTGAGCATGCAGTGAGCATTTAATAAAAACTGAACTTTTTTTCAAAAGCAGTGCTGTAGATGGCATTTTTAACCCTCTCAGGACACTCCCAAAGACACTGCATTACAGAAATAAGTTGGAATACAAAATTTGAACAAAAAAAACTCTGATGAAAAACTTGGACCCTTTCTTGAGGAATATAAAAGATAGAATACTACATCCCTATAACATGACTGGCATAAATATGACTAACTTTACTTTTCCACTTTAAGTATCAAAAGACGAAGCCTTAAGTCAAAAATGGATTAGTGTAACAGAATCTTTTCCTAATTAGTTTCAGTCCTTTCTAAATGCTCCAAAGAAGCTTATCGGAAAAAAAAAAGGGGGGGGGGGGTCGGGTACAGTGGCTCATGCCTGTAATCCCAGCACTATGGGAGGCTGAGGCAGGCGAATCACCTGAGGTCAGATGTTCGAGACCAGTCTGGCCAACATGACAAAACCTAGTCTCTACTAAAAATACAAAAATTCCCCAGGCGTGGGGCATGTTCCTGTAATCCCAGCTACTCGGGAGGCTGAGGCAGGAGAATCGCTTGAACCTGGGAAGCATAGGTTGCAGTGAGCCGTGATGGCACCATGCACTCTAGCCTGGGCAACAGAGCAAGACTCCGTCTCAGGGGAGAGAAAAGAAAAAGAAACAAAACCTCCCAGCCTGACTGTCAGCATATGAACCAAATCTTTTTTCCTGATATGCACCAAGGTTGTTAAAATTCTAAGGGTCAATTAAGAGTTACGTGCGAAATCTATAAAACAAGTTTTGCCTGATACCACTTCCCATCTCAGCATTCTCATCAAGGTTCACCTTTGCAAATAAACACCTAAGTTCAATTAAGAGAACAAGTGAGGAGGAGGTATTAACTAACATGAAAAAGTCATTGTCCTGTATATCCTGCAGACTGTAAAACTTAATCTTCAAATAGAATACTATTCTGGCCACCAACAAAAATGCTTAAGGGAAGATCTACTAATTTTGTTTTACCTCTCTGTTGTACTTCCAATGTCTCAACTATGAAAGCAGTGCATTAATAAGTGGGAAGCTATGGAATAAGACACAGACATTGTTGGAGTATAGGTTCTTAATCACACCTATAATTCACAGTACTGCTTTCCTTTCTCTCTGACCCAAGTTCTCATTAAATGACTCCAAGACTTTTCTGCATCACTATGTTTTCTCTAATCTGAAGCTGAGATGTGCACTGAAATAAAAACATTCTAACCAATATATTTCTCAAATTATTAATATAGTACTTGTTTAAATATTTGTATTCAAAGCTTCCCACTCATCATCTAGCTTTATCAAGGAACACACACAGGTTATACACTATGACTGCCTTCGTAGCTGCAGCTTGACTGAATCCTGGGACACCACCTCAACTTGGAAGGAACAGAACCATATCTGGTTCTCATTGGATACACAGTTTCTCATGCTTTCCAGCTTAAAGACTTTACATCTTCCCAGAGGAACAATGTAGGAAGACACCAGATAGTATGCCTGTTAACGAAGATGAGTGATCAAATTCAATTCCTACTTCAAGAAATCTGAAACTTCAAAAACTTGTCCTAACAAATCACAGGTGAAAAGATTAAAAAGAAAAGGATGGTTTACCCCTTCATTCTCTCTTTTCTGGAGACAGCTTCACACATTCTGAAGAGCAGTCTTAACTTACTGAAGAGCAGTCTTAACTTAACTGAAGAGCAGTCTCAACTTAACTGAAGAGCAGTCTCAACTTACTGGTTAGTTGGAGGAGCGGTCAACGGTATGGCCACCTCTTCCTCCTCGTATTCTGGTCCATCCAGAGAGTCACCTTCGTCCACTGTCCCCAGACCCGCCCCCAAAGGGGGCAGGTGAGGGGGAGGAGGCAGAGGGGGAAATACACCTCCTGGCCCGAGAGTCTCAGCAGGCAACGAAGTGAGCAGCTTGGTGAGAGACATGTCTCCACTGGGTCCAGCAGCAGCAGCAGCAGCACCGGCCACGCCAGCAGCAGCACCGGCCACGCCAGCAGCAGTACCTCCCCCTGTCAGTCCGGCTCCCCCCGATGCCCCTGCCACAGACCCGGTTCCTAGGAACCCTGACCCCAAAGCGGCTCCGCCACCCAGAGTCCCAGCCACTCCGGTCTCCACCAGCCCAGGATAGGGGGCGGCTGCCACAGGCAGGGCCGCGGGTATCCTCACCCGACACACTGCGGGATAGGCACTGGAGCCCGCAGCCGCGCCGCCTCCCCCCGCTCCGGCAGTTACCGGGCCGCCCTCCTCGCTGCCGGCCTCGGCCGCCATCATGTTGAAGCCCGCTCTACTCTGTCCTACCCTGCCCGCCCGGGAGCCCCGGGGGCCACCAGGCCCGGGCTCCGAGCCGCCCCACCCAGGCGCGTCTCCCCTTCAGCTCCCCAGGCGGAGGAAACAACAACAAAAGGAGAGAGCCGGCCGCCGCGCCCCCTCCTAGGGCCACAGCCCAGGCTCCGGAGCTGCCGGGGTTACGGGAAGCGAAGTGGGCAAAAAACCCAACGCCTGCACAAACGCCACCCAAAGCTCACTGCACACACCCACACTCACGCGCACACACACGTACAGAAGCGAAAACTTCCTGGCTGCACTAAAGAGGATAGGAAGCACAGGGAAAGAGGCTGAGGCGGCTATCGCTCCTTTAGACACCACCGCCGCTGCTTCACCACCCCAGTTCCGGCCACCCACACCGCAGCCACCGCCGGTGCCGCTGCACAGGCTGGGGCCACTGCAGCCCCTTCATCCTCCACCCGGCAGATGCTGGGTAGGGACGACAGAAAGAGGGGCTGGGTAATGAGGAAATCTACTGAACTGCTCACTACCTGGAGCTCTCAGTGAGTGAAACCGGAGAGAGAGAAAGGAAGGCGGGGCAGGGGAGGAGGGACGGAGGGAAGGAAGGGCGGAGGAGGGAGAAGGGCCGCTTGTGCGCAGGCGCGTTCCCGGAGCGGTGGCGGGGGGCCGGCCCTGGAGGAAAAGGAAGAGTCCGGAGGGAAGGAAGCGGCGGGGACGCGCGGTGCGTGGTCGCGCATGCTGTCCTGCTGCGGTTCGAAGCGTGTGTCCGGTCGGCTGCATCTCCCGTCGGCGCGGCTGGCGGCGCGCGCCTGCCTCCCGGGGCTTTGTCTGATGGGCGGGAGAAGAGGGAAGGGTACCTGAGCTCGCGGGCGCTTGGCGCTGTTACAGCCGGAGAGACGAGAAGGGGACCGGGAGGTGGTGGAGAGGAAGGAGGGGGAAAGGGAAAGGAGAATGCCCAGAAACTACCGGAGGAAGCAACAGCCTTAGCCAGCAGCGCAGAAACCAGGCAAGGGTCAGGTAGCTTTGAAGATCGGGGCCGTACTATTTATGTTTTCTTTTTCGTTTCTTGCTGTAAATCACCATGACTGTCACGCACGCACAAATAAAAATAGATTCTGAAACTCAAAACAAAGTAAAAGGCACCATATGAGAAGGGTGGAGAATTTTGGTAGAAATGGTGGTTATGGAGCCAAATTTCTGCCAGTATCGGCGTACGTTTCTTTTTAACCCAGTCTCATATACTTACCTCTGCCATTACAAATATATTGGATACTAAGGAACCGGGGGGGGGGGGGGGGGGGTGCCACAGAAAACACTAATCAATGCCCCTTTGTCCTCGTCGTGATCCACAGTGCAAGCACCTTCAACAAGTCAAATATCAAAAATGTCCCAGTTATGATTATATATTGTTTCAAAAAGTATCAATAAACTGAAAACTCATATTTAATACAATTACGGAGAAGGGTTTTGTCTTTTATACTAAATGTATACAAACTATTATATGCTTCATATAGAGGGAGCTTCCCATGGTTTGAAATTAACCGTATTGTTATTTCAAATTCTCCCAAGAGTGATCCCACATTGACTACCATTGAATATTGATCTTCGAGATCAATGTTTTCTCTGCTAAGGATGATTAAACCAACAATAGGGATGGCAAGTAGCTGTGATAGAAACCCAGGAAAAAGAGAAAAGACCACTAAAAGAGGTGACAAGACGCAGGCAATGGATCTTCTTTGTAAGTTTGCCTATTTACCTAGTCAATGACAACAATCTACCTTGATTAAGGAATAGTCCTGGGGCCACCATTTTGCTTATCTCTTAGGCAGTGTGCCACCTGGGAGAAGGAAGATGAACCAGTCACAGGAAATAGAGTTCGCAGAGTGAATTGAGGCCAGCAACATCCTAGGAATTCAGAAATGCCACCTCAGACCCGCTAAATCAGAAACTGCAGCAATCTATTTTAACAAGCCCTGCAAGTGATCTTTTGCACACTTAAGTTTGAGAACCACTATATTAATGTATAGTATACTAATCAAGAAGGAGTTATACAATACCTAAAAAAGAGAAATAATAGATGTCATTCATTAGGTAGGTGGGTAAGATATGTGAGTTATGAGTTGCTAAGCCCTGTGCTGTTCTAGAAAATGAGAATGAAATAGTCCCATAATACTTAATAATGAAGTACTACTTATGGTGGCTTCCTTTCCCGAGAACAGTTTTTTTTTTTTCTTTTAAATTTAGACCCTCAGTTAGACAAGACTATCAAAATTCCTACTCTACTTACTGCCTGCTATGTAAACCCCAAGTGCAACATTCCCAACAAATCTTCATATAGCCTGTGCTTGAAAACCTGCAGTGTGTTAACATCCCAATCCTCCAACATTCCTGCCCCAATCATCACTGTCAGCCCTTGAATGCAAGACCTTGGACTGGCAAATTATCACCAGCTCCTGGTTATCCCTGATCTCTAAATGATCGCACATGATCTGTATGTTGCCTGGGAGTCCAGGTGAGGCTCACTACTCTTACAGCAGAATTACCTCCTCCTTTTTTGACAATTCTTTAGCACTTTTAAAGGTCAATATTTAATGCAGTCTAAAATCTCAAACACTCAGTTAAATTGTTTTCTAGACTTTTAGGTGTATGTACCTACAAAACTGTACTGCAGATACTAACTGCGGTCTATTTTACTTCCTAGCCCTGTCCTAGGCAACCTCAGTATGCTACTTTGAACAGATCTTCATTCTTTTAACAAATACCAAATTTGATCAGCTCCCTTCCATGGAAATCGATTTCTTAACTAGTAGGAAAGACTTACTATGTCTATTTGTAAATCAACCTTTATGTTCAGCTTTAGAGTTAGCACTGTTCTTTTCATCAAAAGAAATTGCCACATATTTTTATGAGGTATTTTCAAATATTTAATATCTTTCTATTATTGGATAGACCTAGGCTCAAATCTTTACTATTGCTTGTGTACTTTCTGAATATCAAATAAGTTGTTTATCTTTAATTTCTTTTCATTTTTTTCCAAAAGGATTTAATGTTTCTACTTTATTTTTGTTCATTGCCTTTCTTTCCCACCCATTTTAACTTCTGCCCGTCCCTCATTTATTCTCATGTTTTCTTTTTCTCCTGTTAATTCCTCCCTAAGTTTCTAGGGAAGAATTTTGTGTATCCTTTTTATTTTCTTCCAAACCTCTGAATTTTGTAACATAAATATAGTTCTTGAAGTTTCATGAGTCAAAAACTAAAGAACAAGTTTAAAAAAAAACTGAGATATCTGTTTGAAAGAAAGCATTACAGGAATTCTGCAGGAATTGGTATTAGATATGGTCTTAACGGAACATCAGTTAACAAAGGGAAGTAAACAATCTTAATTAAATTCACAGATAATATTAAACAAGGAGGTACTGAAAAACAGAATAGTACATAAAAGAAAATTCAAAATACATTTTACCTTTAGTAAAATAAGCTATTATATCTGTGATTTTAGGAAAGTTACTGTAGATTTTGAAATATAGTATTTCAAACTGAAGACTAAATAATAAAAAGTGCTGGACAAAAACTTGTGTATGAAAAGAAATTGAAAATTTAAGAAAATGAAGTTGGCGTATTCTGGTTTCATTGGCAACTCAAATACGAATGTACTACATCCCAAAATATTTTATAGTTTTGATATCTTGACTTGTAGAAAGGTAATTCTAACTCAGTAACATAACTATAATTTTAAAGAACCTTAGAGCATATATATGAATAGTTTCTGCTGGGGGGACTAACCAAGAAGTAATAAAGAGCTCACAGCTGTATTTGAAGAATCTGCAATAGTGTTCCATGTCCTAGTACATATTCAGCTATACAAATAGCCTTCCAAATTTACCTAAATAGTTTCAAAGGTTTCATTGACAGGACGACTTTGAAAGAAAGCCTTTACTTCTAACCCTAATATCCTCACTGCTTTATTGACCTTATCATAAATCCTCCAGAGCACAAATTTTTTTATTAGATCTTTTGAGAAAATAACACTGAGGAGATGCAGATTAAAGAAAATACTTTCATGAAAAAGTAAATAACTCTGAAGAGATTACAGTATGTGGTATAATAACTAAATAAGATTTATGAAAATTATAAACACCATAGAGAAATTGAAGAACTATGTGACAATCTCTGAGGCTGTAAAATAAATTCCAAGATAAATGATCCAGAGCTCTCTCAAAACATTTAAACCAATGTATGGGTAAACAAGATTAGAACAGTTAGATATAAATATCTCTTCTCTTGAAATATAAAATAATAGAAAAATATATTTATTTTTTGTTATTTAGTTTATTCCTATTTTGTCTTTATTTTGCAGATACTTCATTACATTTGGTCAGACACTTTCCTCCTTCATGATTTCTAAGCTCTTTTTCTTATCTATTATTTTACTCTGACCGGGCACATTTATGTATTTTCCTTTCTTTGCCTGGCTCCTATATATGATAGTACTCCACGGTAGAAGTGAAGGAGGAAAGGGAATGGAATGGTTTCAAGGCAAAGAATGTGGGAGAGTCAGGTGGATTGGACTCTGCCATATTTTCCTCATTATTACACTCCCATTTTTTAATATATCAGCAACAATTTAAATAGCACCTGAAGCACAGTCATGAAATCCAACCAAGTTTTGGTCTTTTCACCTCAAGAATCCTGCAAAGTTTCTAATTCAAGTTAAATTTTTTGGTCTACCTGAGAGTCTCCTAGGAACCCTTTCACTTCCAAATACAGTTAGTATGATAATACACACTGCTCTTTAAAATAACTCTACACTGAAAGGGCTAAGTGGAGCCTTGAGTCAGATAATTATCATAAATAAGGTGAGAGATTTAAGTACTGCAAACACATTGTAAGTAGTGTAACTTTACTCAACTAGCTTTCTATTTCTAACTATAAGTATTTCTCAATCCACATGCTCTTTTGAAGACTTCACCTTCACTTGTTATCTAATAGAACTCTTATTTTTCAACTTTCTATTCATTGTGTATCTAATTGTTTTTAGAAAGCAATGAAATATAACATGTAGTATAATAGTATATATTAGTGATTTTCAGACTTCTGAGTTTTATGGACTACTAAAGATTCCACAAAAACTGAGAGACTACCGAATTGCCAATTATGAGTTTGCAAATTTTGTGAAGAGAAAAGTATTTTGTTGTTACAAGAAAACTGCCATTTCCTGCTGCATTATTTCATTTAAAAAAAAAAAAAGTTGGGGGGGGCATTTCAAGGCAGGGAGAAAGAAGGAAGGAGGAAAGAGAATGGATGGAAATAATTTTAGAAAAAAAAGGACAGTCCTTAGAATTACATAAATTTAGCTTCATGATATCTTCATTATATATTATTTTATCTTTTTCCATGGATGCATTAAAAATCGGCATTGGAGGCCAGGCATGGTGGCTTAAGCCTTTAATCCCAGCACTTTGGAAGACCAAGGCAGGAGAATCACTGAAACCAGGAGCTGCAGACCAGCCTGAGCCTGTAGTCCTAGCTAATTGGGAGGCTTATGTGG